CACGATTTCCAGACTGAAGAAGAGTAGCTGCAGACTGGATTCAGGGTGGTCACTCGAGCATTAGATGTCTTCTCCCGCATGCAGGCTTAGGGGCGAAGACAACAGGAGGACGAATGCAGGCGAATGATCGAGGAGGCAGAGTATGAACTGGAGAATGCCCCGTTGGCGGAGATGTACTGGCAGCACAGAAGGGATCGATGGTTGCAGAAGCTGGAGGATATGCAGATTGAACAGCAGGTGCTCTGGGCCAAGCAAGCACAGGAAAAGGGGATGATCATTGCGGACCGTATGACAAAGGAAACCTTTCAACGGATCTGTCCGCCTCGGGCTCACTCCTTGATGAGGGAGTTGCAGCATCCCTTCTTCCCAGAAGCTGATATAGCAAGGGACTCATCTGCAATCGGTGAATACGCGCTCACTTATTTTAGCGATATTCTCAATTGAAGGCGCCAACCCGATCAGTCACTGCAACAGTTAAGGGAAGAGGATGACTTGTGGCGGTACACAACTGTGAAACTTGCAGCAGAAGCCAGACACAGACTAGAGCAGCCTATTACCTTGGAGGAGCTGCGTGAGGCAATGCTGCACATGGCTCGAGGCAAGAGCCCTGGTTCAGATGGGCTTCCCGTTGAGTTTTACGAGGCAGCTTGGGACCAGATCGGACCAATCCTGTTGGACCATTACAATAGAATTTTGGAGGGCGCCACGCTCGCGGAAGACATGAAATTGGGTATCATTACCCTTATTTACAAAAAGGGCGACAAGTGTAACATCCGCAATTGGCGGCCCATCTCTAGATTGAACGCTTCCTATAAGATATTGGCAAAGCTTCTCGCAAGAAGGCTGGCCCCATACTTGCCACATTTGGTACACACCGATCAAGGCGCCTTCGTGCAAGGGCGCTCGATAGCAGAAAATATCTTGATGGCAATTGGGGCGCTGAAAGTCGTTCAGAGAGAGAAAAGACAGGTGTTGGTCGCCATGCTGGACCTGGAGAAGGCCTACGACTGGGTGAATTGGTTGTTTGTCCCGGCAACGCTGGAACACATGGGATTTGGACCGAAGTACTGCAAATGGGTAAAGGAGTTGTACGCTGGCTCCACTGCCATGGTTAACGTGAATGGCTTCCTTTCTCCGGCATTCTCACTTACACGCTCTCTACGTCAAGGATGTCCGCTGACGTCCCTCCTCTTTGCCTTGCAGATGGAGGTTGCGCTGAACACCTTTCGTGCCTCTCAGCAGGTCTAAAGTCTGGACCTAGGAGGTGAAGATTCTGTACTTACCGGCGCCATTGCAGATGACTTGCTGCTAATCATGGAGGCTACGCCTGATTCTATGGGCGAAGCTAAGGCCCTGTTGGATAGATATGCCTCGCTGTCGGAGGCACGAGTCAACTGGGGAAAATCCGTGTATTTCCTCCCAGTAGACTACGATATCACAGGGCAGGACTGGGGAATGAAGAGAATCCCCCCTAATCTCTCCGAGCGCTATTTAGGCGTCCAGGTCTCTTTAACGAATGCGGGACCGAGGCAACACTCTATCCTCCAGGCTAAGACAGAGGCCTGCATCCACCGGTGTAGAGTTGCAGTGGGACTGTCGCTATTGGGGCGAGCTCTATTGATTAACTCAGCTGTCTTCGCCCAACTTTGGTTCATTGCCGCCGTCTGTTTGTTATCCAAGCCCACCGTCCGACAGTTGACCCCTGACGCTGCGCGGTACCTCTGGAACCCCACTGCGCAGGAAGGGCAGGGTTACATCTCAAAATGTGCTTGGAACAAAGTTACAACAGTCAAGAGGGAAGGTGGACTGGGAGTTATCGATCCCAGGAGCCAGAACCTGGCGCTGCTCACCAAGTGGCTTCACAAAGCCACTACTCAAGTCGAAAGAAGGAGTTGGTTAATCATCCTTGAATACATCTTCCAACAGAGTCTCTCCCTTAGCCGCAGAGAGGATGTCTGGCTCTGTGTTTTCATGGAGTCCTATCAACGACGACTGCCGAACTCATCGATCGCAGCAGCTTGCTGGACAGCATGGCGTGCCCTCCTCCCTTCGGGTAGGAAGGACCCGGGAACGAGGGAAGAGATTCTCCTGCAACCCCTTTTCGACAACCCAGCCATCTGCAGCGATCAGGGTCTCCCTTTCCACGCAACCTCGACACCAGGCAACTTCGGGAGACGGTGGGTAGAGAAAGGAGTAGCCAAAATTGGCGATCTATGGGACAAAGAGAGTAAGGATTGGATACCTGTCCAGCAGCTCAAACGGAAGTTGGGCCGACTCCAATTGATCACTGAGAGAAGACAGAGTTTGCAAATGGCTATACCTCAACACTGGATGGACTTGCTGCGTTCCCGGGACCCGATTGAAGGGGAATGGTACCTGCACGCGGACGTCATCAGAGACGCAGAATCAGGGGAAGTCCTACGAGTCATGGAGCAGCTAGACACCGACACTTGGCGGGCAGAGAGTTGGAAGCTGTCCCAGGGAGAACCCCCAACTAACATCCTCAGCTTGGAGGGGGAAGTTGCTCTTCGCTCAGACCAGAAACTCCACCTGCTTCGTGTGCATACTGAGGATAAAGGCCTCACCACCTCACACCAGCTGCTGATGCAGGGTCGCCCACTGAATTCACTCAGAATCGATCCTCAAGCCTTCTATTGCAGGGCCCCAGTGTCACAACCTTCTACAGGCAGAGATCTCCAAATCTTGTGGGCGCAACTTCCAGTTCTCCCATCGCAGAAGCTGGCTGGCCTTTCTTGGCTCCTCTCACATGGCGCTATCCCCAGTGCAGAATGGCTTTTTGAGAAGGGCATGGACATTGACACGAAATGCCAGCGCTGTGGGAGAACCCATGAGGAATCTTTGGAGCACCTTTTCTGGGACTGCCCTGCTTCTCGAAGGATCTGGCAGTGGTGGGAAAGGCATTGGCTCAACTTTGTGGGTGATCTTCTGAAGTGGGACAAAACCTGGGCAATACATGGTCGCATTCCACCCACATGGTTTAAGAAGGTGGGGAGAAGCTACGTGGCGCAGGCGATACGATAGATACTCCTCTGGGTCATATGGGAGGATAGAAACAGCATTCTCTTCCGGCAGCAGTGGACATCTGATGTGGCACTCATCCGCAATATCAAGTCCTGGATTCGAACCATGATCAGGGTAGACTGGATACGAAGGGCAGCCCGCGGCCATAATCCCAGGGGCAGGCATTGGTTTCTTGTTACTTGGGCAAGAGACAACAAGCTTGCTGCAGTCACTCATGCGGGCAGACTTCAAATCTCTCCACGGCTCGCAAGTTAACTCTTTTCCCTTTTCCCTCCCTCTTCCTTCTCTTTTCCTACCCCTCTCACCTCTTTCCTGTCCTTAGTCATCTCTCCGGACGAACCAGGGTACTCGGTTCCGTTGGTGGTCGCAGTAGGCCACATTGGGTGGTGGGGCGAGGAGAGTGCCCAGTCTAGCTACAGGAGCCTAATTACTCCTCTCGGCTGCTGCTAGGTTGAGGTCAGGCCGTTGGTAGGCCTGTGTATTGGGTCTTGGTAGTGGTAGATTTTAGACAGCATAGTCTACTGTAGCATCCCGTAGTGTATTCTGTAGTACCTCTTGTAGCACACTCTAGTTCCTATTAGCACAATGTAGTTCATAGCAACCTTAGGAGCCCTCCCCGCCCTTCTCTTGTCCATTAGCTGTTTTCTCTCCAATCGCTCACCTGTCCTGCCACCATTCCCCGCTCTTTCCTGCTTCCTCCCTTCCTCCTCCCTTCCTCCTCCCTTCCTTTACACTCAAGTAGGGATCAATGCTTTTCCAAACTGGTAGATCAGGCCTGTGTCCCTGATAGGATGGTCACATAGGATAAGTTGAACAACAGTCTTTTGTGCCTTAGTTTTTTCAGGTGTCCTAAAGCTAAACCGGCTGAGGCTGCCGGGATAACTCCGGGTTGAATTGTGAGGACCCCGGCCCCCTTTATGGATTTTGGAATATAAATTTGAGCGGTTGTTTAAAAAAAAAAAAAAAAAAAAAAAAAAATTTTTTTTTTTTTTTTTTTTTTTTTTTTTTTTTTTTTTTTTTTTTTTTTTTTATTGGATACAAAGCGTTCGTCGCCGGGAGGTTCTATGACTTGTCCCAACGTTTTTACGTCTTTATGGACGTGATTGCGGTCAGATACCTCCAGCAACGGCCGTAAATGCGGTCAGATGCATATAACAGAGAGATCGTGTGAGTAAGCCCTGATATTATGTACATTGCCTCGGGCACTGGGCCCGTATAATAAAAGTGTGTAAATTCAAAAAGATAAAGGAAACACAGTGGAAGTTCATCACAAACGAGCGAATTTTTTTTTTTTTTTTTTTTTTCTTGCCCCAACCAAACAGGCTGCGAACTCCCTCCTTCTCTCTTTCTCTCTCTCTCTCTCTCTCTCTCTCTCTCTCTCTCTCTCTCTCACACACACACACACACACACACACACACGCGCGCGCGCGCGCAGACGTGCACACACACATTCTCTCGCGCACACACACACAAACACGCCCATTCAGGTGATACTCGCACTAGGACTTTGTCCGGAAAGCTCTGGACGTGATTGCTGTCAAATTCATCCAGGTCTGGCCGTAATTGCAGTCAGATGCATTCTGGACAGTCCCCAGTGTGAGTATGCCCTCGCTCACTTACCTCCCTCTCCCTCTCTCTCTCTCTCTCTCTCTCTCTCTCTCTCTCTCTCTCTCTCTCTCTCTCTCTCKCTCTCTCTCTCTCTCTCTCTCTCTCTCTCTCTCTCTCTCTCTCTTTTGTTTACTTGCTTACAACAAAAAACAGAAAAAGTACTAGGTTCCGTCATTCTGTCACGACCAGCAGAATCAGCAGGCCAGGCCGACAATGCAAGTGGCGATCTGGAGACAGCAGCAGGCAGCATGCAGGGCTACCCTCAGCCGACTCGGAGGCAATAGGCCATGGCCACTTGTCGGACATTCATGGCCATGGTCATTGCCATGTGGCGACCGCCGGCTGGAGGTTGTCGTCAACAGCTCCTGCTGTTCCTGCTGTTTTGTCTGCTGCCTCTCCTCCTCCTCCTCTGCGCTTTCTTTTCAAGTCTCGCCCAAACGCGGTCTTCCCCCACAAGTACTACTAGGCCGATTTGGCCGACGACTTGGCTGACATGGCCAAAATCGTTCACATTGCCCACATCGTCCCCATCTCCCAAATCGTCCACATCGTCCACATCACCCACGTCGCCCACATCGCCCACATCGCCCACATCGCCCACATCGCCCACATCGCCCACATCGCCCACATCGCCCACATCGCCGAGTCAAGTGCGGGGAAGAATGACGATCGTGAATGGTCGGCCAGTGGACGACCAGCGGTACTTCGCCTATCAAGTTGCCCTACTCTATGACGGCGAATTAACGTGTGGAGGAAGCATCATATCACCCTCTCATGTCCTAACTGCCGGTAAGCTCTTCCTCCTCCTCCTCCTCCTCCTCCTCCTCCTCCTCCTCCCTTTCCTCGGTTTCCTCCTCCTCCTCCTCCTCCTCCTCCGTTTCCTCCTCCTTCTCCTCCTTTTCCTCCTTTTCCTCCTCCTGCTCCTCCTTCTCCTCCTCCTCACCGTCATTATCAAGATCAGAAACAACCAAGAGAAAGTGTTTTCATTTGCAAAAAATGAAAGAAGAAAATTGGATCCCCTCCTCCTTCTTCTTCTTCTTCTTCTTCTTTTTTTTCTTTTTTTTTTCCCCTCTCTCTTAGACTATTGAAAGAAGGAAAGGCTCTGAAAGAAATTGGATTACCTATTCGGCTCTTCAAGGAGACGAAAGGGAGCCGAATAGTTGCGACTCTTGAGTGGGAAAAAAAGGGGA